AATATTTGAAGTTATATTTTTTTTTTATAAAACTATAGGTAATTGCATTTAATTTTGTTTTGTTTGTTTGTCTACATTCAGAAATGCATATAAAAATAAAAAACATTTGTATTTAAAAGTAGTTGCTATTTAAGCCGCTTTAAAAAAATCGACTCTAAATCCAATGAAGATCACCTATAACAAAAAGGAAACTATATTAATCATCTACACTTGCAATAACAATAACAAATTATATATTGACGAGCAATATAATAATATAAGAAAATACCACTCTCGAAAAATTCTAACATGCTGTTGCATTTTTGAAAATAACTTAATAGCCTGCAGTAGTTGTCCTCTTGAGCCACAGATAATTGGAGGCCTCTTCAACATTTAGCCTCTTCTTCTTTTCTTCGTGTCCTAGACACTGCACTTGGACATTCCCTACGTGCGAGCAAGATAAAAATCTCTGATAAAACATTCATCATTCAAAAAGTGCACTATCAGAATATTGCATATTACATCGATTGATGATATAAAATTAGAAACAGCAATTATTAAAAAATTAATTTATATTTCCTGTTCGTTTACCTAGCTCGTTGGACTATCAATGAACTTAGAAGTCATTGACCGTGCACATATACACGAGCACATTTAATCGAATGTCCAAGCAGATAATAATTTCCATCGAAGACCTAATAACACTTTGCACTTTTAATGTCAAGTAATAAAATCGAATCGCGAAATAAATAATGTAATAAAAGTAATGCATTTACTTGCAATATTTTCATTTCATTCATTCGTTATATTTAATTACATCAAATATTTCTAATTATAAGACAAAATCGCGATTGTGCGAAGTGCTAATCTTATAATACTTAAAACTAAGTATTAAATTCATCAAAGAATTTGCGAGACTATCTCATTCGAGATAGAATCGAAATAGAAATGAATCTTTCAAATTGTTGCAAATCCCTCTGAATCATGATACATAATAAAGATTACAGATGAGTTACAAAATAAATTTACAAAGCAAGCATAATAGAATGAAATGATATAATTATGTAACAATTCTGTATAAACCAGAAGGCGGAATTTCCACTTCGGAGTAAAAGTAAGCCTAGTGCTTTTCCTGGATCCTACCTACTTAAAATAAAAGTTTTCACATTCGCTCAGAGAAGTATGCTACCTGCCTGCCAATTACCCATATTTAAAAAGAGCAAATACACATACATACCTATCCACTCACTCCACGATTCTCTCACATATCACCATGGTGCAAAAGCCTAAACTAGAGAGCATGCCCCGGGGCACCTCCGACACCCTAGTTCAACCACGTTTTCTAAATTTATGAGAGTACGTAATCGTCTGTCAAGGCTAGTGATTATTGCATAAATGACTAAATAAAAAAATACTGGTACATACTAGTATATATCAGCATACTAGTATAATACAAATATTGTCAAATTTCCACAAATAAATGTGGGGACTTTACTATTCAAAACGATTTTATTACGAAAAAAAAATTAGAAAAATTTAATATAAACAGAAAAATACAATCATGTATATTTTCCATTCATATCACACCTAACTTTAGGTGTGCTATACTAATTGTAAGTAGAACTTGAAGTTATAAATAATGCATTAATTAAAAACTATTACGAAA